GAAGAAGGTGTATTGACTCAAAGCTAAAACCTTTAGGAATGCCACTGCCTAATTGCTATCGATTGGCTATTTATTAGTTCACATGAATTTATCTGTAAATTTGTAAACCATAACCGGTGGGCAGAGAAGTAAATCCTGATTTTTGATATCCCCTCAATGCACCAGAAAGCAGACTGAGCAGAAATTGGTGTGAAAAACGGGACGTCAGCTTTAGTTTTTTTGGGCAAACTGCTTTTAGAAAGACGAAATCATGAGCTTTTAATACGTCTGTCTTTGTGTTTTTTTTGTCTCTGATGTTTTTTCTCTGGTTTCAGTGTCTATCTTTAATGAATAGAAAGAAAGTGTTTAGCTGATAGATGCAGTGACTCCAGAGTTTTAGATCCACTTTGTTGATCTAGCTTTCTTCTGATTGGCTGCCCCTCAGCTCTGTATCACATCACACAGAGCCAAGAGTAAAAAAAACTGTTTGTGACTGTGTGTTTGCAGCGGTCTGTGTGTTTAACAAACTCAAATAAAAAAAGTAAACTAGGTCCGTTCTTGTGATAAGACTGGCCTCCTGGCTGAAATCAGGTTCTAGCAGCTGAGAATTAAGTGAACCATATCTAATACTGGATTGTGTGCTTGTACGGCTTTTTGTCATCGTTGATCTGAATGACCCGAAACATCTGTTTCGGATTTTGGTACTAAGATATCTTTTTCCTTTTCTTCCACTGTTATACACCAACATGTGCACATTTGTAAGAAAATGTTGTTCATGCTCCACTGCAGTGCACGTACATCCAGATCCCTCAGGTGGAGCAGACCAACGCTGTGGTCCTCAGCAAACCTGCATGGATGTGGGGAGCTGAAATGGGCGCCAGTGACAAAGGGGTCTGTATTGGGAATGAGGCAGTCTGGACCCGAGAGCCCGTCGCACCGGGAGAGGCTCTGCTGGGCATGGACCTTGTCCGGTGAGCTGCTGAAAACTTTTGATATTCCTCAGAAACTTGTATGGATTAAGAACAGGATATCAATAAAGGGAAAATAATCCAGCTGCTGACTGCACCTAATTAAAGTTGGATTGCATGTATTCAGTAGAAATACTAAGTTAATCCTCTGAGGCTTTGATCAGAAGGGTGTGTAGATTGTCACTAGCATGTTATGACAGGTGTAGAGATGACTGTTGAAGTTACTCTGTGTAAAAATACTCAAAGAAACGAGTGTTTAACAGTACAAAATATGCTTAAAATACCAAATAGGTTAATGACTGGGTTATAATGAATGATTCATTAATGTGTGAATCACTTTAATGTTAAAGTTGGAGGTGATTTTAATCACTGCTGATTCTGTCATGTCACTTGGCATTGTAAGATTAACAGTACCAAGTCAGGTTTCTGGGTACCACTAATCTTAAGTGCGTGTTTGGGTCAGGACGGGGGGTGGGGGTCAATCACGCCCCTGTTCCCCACAGCCAGCCACACTTCCTTTTTTTT